GCTCCCACCAAGTTAGTACCTCCTGTTTGACTAAAGCTAAAATTTTAAAACTTCAAGAAGAAAATATAGGAGAAAAGCCTCATGACTTTGAGCCAGGTAAAGATCTCTTAGGACAAAAAAAAAAAAAAAAAAGCATGAACCTTAGAGGAAAAACTTCACAAGCTGAACTTCACCAAAACTAAAAGCTAATGCTCTTTGAAAGACACTGTTAAGAATATGAAAAAGTGGGGCGCCTGGGTGGCTCAGTCGTTAAGTGTCTGCCTTCCGCTCAGGTCAGTATCCCAGGGTCCTGGGATCGAGCCCCACATCAGCCTTCCTGCTCAGCAGTGGGCCTGCTTCTCCCTCTCCGACTCCCCCTGCTTGTGTTCCTTCTCTCGCTGTCTCTCTCTGTCAAATAAATAAAATCTTAAAAAAAAAAAAAAAAAAGAATATGAAAAGGCAAGCCACAGGCTGGGAGGACACATTCTCTGTAGACATACCTGATGAAGGACTTCTCCAGCATATACGAAGAACTGTTTCTATTCAATGTTTAAAGAACAGCCCAATTTTGTTAATGGGCAAAAGAGGGGTGCCTGCCTGGCTCTGTTGGGTAAGCGCCTGCCTTCGGCTCAGGTCATGATCCTGGGGTCCTGGGATTGATCCCCGTGTTGGGTTCCTGGCTCAGCCAGAAGGTTGTGTCTCCCTCTCTCTCTGTCTGCTGCTCCCCCTGCTTGTGCTCTCTGTCCAATAAATAAATAAAATCTTTTTAAAAAAAAGAAACACGTATTCCTAAGTAATCTGAGGTTTTTATGCTATTGTAAATGGTATTTTAAAATTTTTATTTTCCAACCGTTCATTGGTAGTATAAAGAAAAAGAATTATTTTTTATATAGTGACCTTGGATTTTGCAACTTTGGTAAATTCACTAATTTGTTCTAGTAGCTTTTTGGTAGATGTTTTATGACATTCTCTATACAAGATCCTGTCGTCTGTGAATAAATTTGGTTTTACTTCTTTTCATAGGAGATGTTAAATCTTGGGGCTATGATAAAGCCACTGGAGGGATTAGTGCCTTGTCTAGCTGGAACTGTATGGGGCTTTCTCCCTGGGTCCAGGGTGCCAAAGACTGGGTTAGTTAGCATCTGATTCTCCCAGCTGCTGATGGGTGATAGTGGTTACATGTCAATCCTTTCATGGAGGGACTCAATCTCAAACTGGCCTGGATACTGAAGACAGAGGATACTCAGCATAGTACACATGGCAGGGAGGAGCCTACACAGCCCTTTTGTTCTCACCGATGTTTGTCTTCTGTTTGCACTTGATCTTGGCCATGAATTAGCTGATCATCTGGTCGTCAAGGTATTCTTCACGCAAGGTGTCCTCAAGAATTACCGATGCCAGTAATTCCATCTTGTACGGTAAGGACAGACACATAAAGATGGCCACCTTCCAGGTGAAAGATCAGCTCATTTCTTTGGCATCAACCTTCCTGTCCAAGCCAAGTGGCAGTGGCAGTTGGCTTACTGATGATTCAGAACATGAGACCAGTGATGCTTGCTGGCAGGGCCTTTGGTGGCGTGAAGCAGGACGTCACTAACGTAACAGCACTGTGAGAACGATGCAGGTCATGGTGCTGACCAAGTAGGCTTCCAGAAATGTTCTCCACCTTTTTCAAAACCTGAAGTCTGTGTTAGGCAGACACCTAACCAAGACGCCACCCAAAGGTCCTCGTCTCTGGGCATTCATACCCTGTGCAATCCCCTCCCTGGGACTGTGGGCTGGGCCCAGTGACTTGTTTCTAACAAAAAGAATACAGCGGAAGTGATAGGCTGTAATTGCGATTAGGTTACAAGAGACTGTGGGTCCGTCTTGGTAGTGCTCTGTCTGCCTTCTCTCATCTGCTCAGCCCGATGAAACAAGCTGCCATGCTGCGAGGCGCCTGCTCCCCAGAGAAGACTACGGGGCAGGGAACTGAGGGCGGCCTCTCTGGCCAACAGCTCGGGAGGAACTGAGGCTTTAGCCCAACACCCTGAGAGGAACTGAATCTTGTCAACAACACATGAGTGAACTAGGAAGTTCACCTTCCCAGCTGATCCCTGAGACCACAGAGAGAGAGAGAGAGCGCGCGCCGGAGGCCCTGGTTGAGCTGGACCCGGGCTCCTGACCCATAGACAGTAAGACAGCAAGTGCTGTTTTAAGCCACTCAGTTTTGGAACAGTCTGTTTCACAGTGAGAGCTAACAACACAACCACAGGGGGTCCCTCAACTCCGCAACGCGTTTAGCATCCCTTCTAGAGCCTGTGGAACTTCAACCCAGTCCACCACCACGCGAGTCCAATGCTCTTCATGTCTGAGCAGATGTCTGGATTATCAAACCCTGTCTAGTTAGTCATTTAATATCTAAACCCATTTTGGAATCCACTGACATCTGAATCTTAGAGTATCACTGATCAATCCTCTTGCATCAGCTAAAAGCAGCACAGTTTAGGATGGGCCTCCTTCCCTGACTGCTGGCAATGACCTCTGCTCTCCTGCGCTGGAAACCACCCATACAGGCAGTGGTGGTAACAAGGTCAGTGACAACTGCAGCTGGTACCATATAGGTCGGAGACAACTAAGGTGACTTCGATGTTGTTATTCAAGGGGAAATGTCTGGCCTTGAGGAAAATATGTAGATACCAGAGCTGCCTGATCATTCAATGAGCCATGGTGGGCTGCTGAAATTGTAAGCCATTTTTTAAAAAAGATTTTATTTGTTTGAGAGAGAGGGCACATACTCACAATCTGGGGAAAGGAGACAGCCTAATGCAGGGCTTGATGTCACGACCCTGAGATCATGACCTGAGCTAAAATCAAGAGCCGGATGCTCAACCAACTGAGCCCTGTAAGTCATTTATTTTTGACGGGGCATGGGATGAATGTGGGGAAGCAGGAGGAAGGAAGACTGGAAAAGAGGAAAGAACATGAAGGTCCTTGTATCTGAAGCAAAAACACTTAAGGCAATGAGGGCAACTGGAGGTACTAACTTGGGTGGGAGCCACTGAGAAAAGACAATCAGTAGGTGTTAACATCAGGATAAATCAGATGCTGAAATGATCTGACAGGAATTTTAAAGCAGTCATCGTCAAACTGCTTCAATAAGCATATTATGAACATGCTTGAAACAAATGAAAAACAAACAAACAAACAAAAACAAACCAAAGTCCCAGCAAAGAGCTAGAAAGCGTAAGAAGAATCATAGGGAAATTTTAGAATTGTATCTTTAGACAGATAAAATAAGCAAAATAAAAAACCCAATGATGGGCTCGGCAGCCAAAGAATCTGTAAACTTGAAGACAGAATGAAGGAAGTTAGCCCATAGGAACACCACAGTGGAAACAGACTACAGAACAAGTGAACAGAGCCTCATGTACGTGTGGGGGTGTAAGAAAGGACGTGATGTTCACGTTATCCCATCAGAAACCGAGCAGCCCAGAACTAGACGCAACAGCATTTTTTGGGTGCTGGAAGAGAATGGTCAGCCCAGAATCCCAGAGCTGCCAGGAAGGAAGAGGAAATCAAGAGAGTCTCAGACAAAACGACAACTAGGAGACTGTGTTTCTATGGATGTATCCTAAAGGAATAACTAAAGAATGTTCTTGAAACAGGAAGGAATCAATAAAAGAAACCATGGAACATCATGAAGGAAAAAAGAACAACAGAAAAAAATATATAGGTAAGTATAATAGAATTTCCTTCTCCTCTTGAGTTTTCTAAAATTATATTCGATGGTTAAAGCAAAAATTGTAACCGTGATGGAGTTCTCAATGTCTGCAGAACACTGTAAATGGCGGTGGGTAAAGGGATGTAAAGGGTAGCAGATTTCGGTACTTGATTTAACCTGGTAAAATGTCAAAATGAGTAGCCTGTGATCAGCTATGTATGTACAAGAGAGTATCTAGGGAAAGCACCAAATATCTATTCAAAGAGGTTTACTAAAAATATACAGATAGATAAATCAAAATGAACTCCAAAAAAATGTTTAAGTAATGCACAGGAGGGCAGGGTTTGACACGGACGACAACTAAGATGGATGGCAAGGGCATTATACTCAATGAAAAAAGTCAGTTTTAGCAGTTGCACACTGTATGATTGTATTTACAGAACATTTTATGAAGATGGAGAATAGATTAGTCATGCCAGGGGTTAAGGATGATGGGGGAGGGGAGGCGAGGTGACTCCAAAGGGGCAGCTCAAGGAGATCTTTGTGGTGACAGAACAATTCTGCATCTTGACCGCGTGGTTACGTGGACATCAACGTAATAAAAGGTCATAGAACTACGTGCACATTATACAACGTCCATTCTGCTTCCTACCCTACAACATCCATTGTTTCCCTTCCCCCTATGGTTTACCTCCACCATGACCACCTCCACCCACTTTCATCATTCTCTTCATACCTACGTCACTCTTCACAATTTTGCTTTCATGCTTCTAATGAGTGATGGTTCTCACTGGATGGCTTCTTGCCACTTACTCTCAACGTATCTTAAATTTTGCTCCTCCACTCCCCCGGCCCCACCTTTCTGTGTTTTGCCACTTTCCTACCTGTCACTCACAGGCAAACGTCAGTCATCCTTGACTCTTCCCTGTCCTTGACCTCCCATGAGCCAATTGCTTGATCTTAGAGAATTCTTTCTTGAATTCATTTCTATTCTCGCTGCCACCAACACAGTTCCAGGACTTGAACTTGGGTTCAAGTCTTGTTTGAGATTTGACAAGAGCTTGGTGAAGGAAGAGTAGGCCTCTAAAACTCTTTTCACCTAGTTTGCAGAGCAACTATCAGAATATTCTTTGATGCAATAAAGAAAAGTACTGAAAACTGTCTGTACCCAGAAGACGGGGAAGGGGAAATCCAGAGATCAGAATCAAAGTCAAACAAGATATTTCTCCAAACACATTTACTTAAAATTTCTCTTCACATCATCACACAAATTATAAGCAGAGTTGTATCTTTCTCAGTAAAAGGGCAAAGTACGTACCTTCACTCTACGAGTAATGCTAAGGAACTGACAAGTTTTATCATAAAGTTGTTCCAGGTTTTCTCTGTCCCAGTAGAAATCGGGAGTGATCAGGAAGTCTGAACTCAAGTTTATACGGTGTCTTAAAAAAAAAAAAACCAAAAATTATAACTTTTTAAATCTTGAATTAAAAAAATCACAGTCCCTATTTTATTTCCATTTACAAAGTATTTTATGAAAACATTTGTGAACGCTCACCTTTGTAATACTTGAGAAATATACAAATAAAAAGACTTACGTAAGAATTTCAAAATTTGCAACCAAATTAACTCAATCTTTAACATTAATGTTACTTAAAAAGTGTTAGGAAAAAAAAAACCCGTCTCATTTTGCTTTCAATTTCTGACCATTTTCCTGTTTTCATTAACTTTTACAAATAGACATTTTTTGATGGATAGGTAATCATGTGACTTAAAAATAAAGAAATGGTAAACTGACAAATCTCACTCCTGTCCTTATTCCCATCTTTCCCTTTCTCCCACCCACCACGTAACCACTGTTCGCTTACTCTCTGTGCAAACACTGGAAAAGGAGAGACACACACACGTACCTTTTTACCTAAGAGCCCTGTGCTCACTTTTAGATGAAAATTTAAGGCACAGAAGTAACACATAAACAGTTGTTCACTGTAACAAAGAAAGCCCTAGGGAAGAGCTCAGAAAATAGCAGTCAGCCCTCTTACCCCAAAACAGCTTTGGGCCCCGTGAACACTTTAGTGTGTCCTTCCAGACCTGTTCTACGCATATATTCATGTGTGTGCACACACAACACATATGGGGGGTATGCATATATGGCAGGATAAAGATTAATTTTCATTTTTGTCTGTTTACACAAATTGGATCCTACCTACATAACTGGGACTTAATTTTTAACCCACTGTTGTAACTTGCCATGCTATCTATTCGGTTTGCCATGTTCCTTTTAATAACACACAGGTGCTTTTATGGTAAAGAGAAGAAAACTTAGGATAAGAATAGTAAGACACTACAGAAACTGTTAATAAGCTATACTTAGTCCTAATTTCTACGTTTTGATATGATTATAATCTGCCATTCTGTTGGCATTACCAAGAGAAGAGGCTAGAGACTGTTTCTCCCCCACTTCTTAGAGAGCTCAAGGCTTCATGTGAGTTGCAGGGCGCTCCCGGGGGATGGGTTTTTACTTTGTTGGCATCCTGAATGAGGACCCCTGGGCTACAAGGAACGCACAGGTAAAGAAATCCTGGACCACTTCTCTCCAGGACAGTCTCTAAGGGGAATGTGGGACAACAACTCTCACACTATCTACAGCGATCTCTAGCAGCTCATGCCACACACTTGGAGGGATAAGACGCTGAACGATCCTGTCCTGTGAAATCGTGCCAAGATTCAGGATGTTTCATCCCATAAATCCTGGGAAAATGACAAAAATGAAAGAAACTGAACACCTTTCCAGAAGCTTCTTTAAAACGATACAGCGATGTACTTTGTCAGTCTTAAGACACCGTTCCTTCCCATCTCTGAAAATGGACGGCATGATGTCGTACAGGTGGCGGCTGTCACTTAGTTGTCATTGCCCTGCCTTCCCTCTTGCTTTCCTTTCCTGTGCGCCCAAGAGCGAAAGGGGTGGAATGCACACCTGACAAAGCTCAAGGAGTTATTTCAGTGTAAGAGGTTAATTCAGTGATAAAAGAGCACTGTCTCAGAGCTCCACTGGCAGCGTCCGTCTCTGCTGTGGCTTCTTACAGTGTGTCTCAGAGTGGACGACACATGGTATGTAACATTTCCGTAGCACTTGCTTCTACTAAGCAATATCATGCAATATATATATATATATATATATATATATATATATATATAGTTTGTATTTTAATTCCGATGTAGTTTATGTGTTATATTAGTTCTACTAGGTTACGATACGGTAATTCATCAATTAGATACATTGCTCAGTGCTCGTTAGGATAAGTGTACTCTCAATCCCCTTCTCCTACTAATACAACCCCCCACACCCCCCAAGCCATCTGCATCTGCTCTCTACAGCTAACAGTCTGTCTTTTTGGTTTGTCTCCTTTTCCTTTGTTGTTTTGTTTCGTAAATGCCACCTACGAATGAAATCACATGGTATTTGTCTTTCTCTGACTGGCTTATTTCGCTGAGCAGTACGTTCTCCAGATGTGAGGAGATCTTTTTACCAAGAATTCCCATTACCCAAATTCTAGAATATATCTTTCTACCTACCAAGAACATCTACTGGGCTCCCTTATGTAGGTTTAACGTAGATTAGTTATGATCTCTGGGCGCACACAGAATGTCTTGCAGTGCAGTCCTAGTGCAGCCCAAGTTCTTCTAAGGGGAACGAGCTCCCCTGGCTCCATGTCTGTGAGGCGAGAGAGGCCGCCCTTCCCATCAAGGCCCACGTTGGCTTTTTACTAGACAAGGACAGCAACGTCTTCTTCACACTGTTACATACATACATTAATCTTATTTACAGAGAAAATTCTACCTCAGGGCAAAGAGTTCACCCATTTTCTGCATCACTTCTTCATGAGATAGTTTCACTTTCTTCCCGGCTTTTAAAGCCTATTTGGGAGGGAAAAAACACAGACATACATACATGCGTCTACACAAACGTATCTCCAGCAAGTAACAGGACCATAAAGCACATTCTAGAGCAGATGTAAATGACACCTTGGATAATGTCTCTCAGTCATCTTTCTTCGAAATTTCAACATCTTATTGGGTAGAAATTCTATATTCCCTTGTTGCATTTCCCTTCTCAATGCATTTTCTAGGATCTACAGTCCTAATCTCTTATTAAGAAAACAGGGCCTCTTCTCCCAAGTATAATTCTGTTATTCTTTCACAGTAAAAACAAAATTACAGTCAATAATAAGTTTTGGTGTATTCTGATAGAACTATTACTTTTCAAGCCACTATTTGTCTCATAATTTGGCAAAATAGTTCTCAGTCAAGAACACTGGTCATAATCCCCTTCCTTAGAGAGGAAACAGCTCACTTTTTAAAAAAGGATAGTTATGTTAAAAATACTACGCCATCAGAAGAAAGCAATTAGAATTCTAAGTTTTCAAAAGTAAAAAAAAATATATATATATATATAAATTTTTTTATTTTAGGTACAATGAATATTCTGTTTTTGCTTAAATGCAGTACAGCTTTTCTAGCATTTATTACTACCTTATTGAACTCCTAAGTATATTGTTAGGGTGGGAAATTTGTATTTCTCCCAAATAGAGACCAACCCTTGAAAACAAGCATAAAATTGGGATCATTACCTCTGGAATTGACTGAATAGAGGCAACAAATTTATCCAGTGATGCCTCCCAGATAGCCAGTTTCACTGGGAAGAAAAAAAAAAAGGAGTAACAACGGAACAGGTTTTCATCCACGTAGTCCTGTTTATACAGAACACACAATTACTTGCCCGGTACCTTCACCACCATTTCAGTAAGAGTTAAAGGAGCAAATGTGCTAACAGTGTGCAACTGAAACCTGAGAACAGCTCGTTCTCATGGTCAAGTTCAGCACTGAAGTGAAAAAGAGGGAGGAAAAAGTACACATCCAAGTCCAGCTGGCAGACTGCGACGACATTGGGTCGAATTCCTAATTTTCTACCGCTGCACCTCAGAAAGCCAGAGAGCACAAGGTACACCCCGAAGCCCCCCGAGCAGGCCACGTCCACCACAGTGCAGTGTAGGGGCCGCCACACAATTCTTAGAGAAATTCTGAGGTTTTTTTTTTTTAAGGTTTTATTTATTTATTTGAGAGAGAGTACAAGTTGGGGAGAGGGGCAGAAGGAGAGGGAGAAGCAGGCTCCCGACTGAGCAGGGAGCCCGATGCAGGACTGGATCCCAGGACCCTGTGATCATGACTTGAGCCAAAGGCAGACGCTTAATTGACTGAGCCCTCCAGGTGCCCCAAATGTCTGGAGTTCTACTTAGCACATGAATCTCTGTCCCATCGCTGCGAGGAACCGGGGTACACTTTTACCCAGAGACCTGCGTCCAGTCACACTGGGCTTCCTCTGCCTGGATTAGAGACAACTCGAGAGCCACCACCAGGCAGAAGACAGGAAAACAAAGGGGATAATACTACAAAACTTTCTGGAGAGGGAAAGCTTTACTGATACAGTTAATAAAGAATGAATACCTTCACACACTCTATTTTCTGTTTTTTCCTTTTGCAAAGAAATGTTAAGGCTTTGATGAATAATCTGTGAAAACATGCCTAACTCTTTACTGAATGCTTAAACTTCCCTGATGAAATGAAAACCATGTCACACTTTCTCTGACAAGTAGCATTAACTTACCTGAAAGACAAAGAGCATTCGAGAAAGCAAATTTCTCTAGAATGGTGTCATCTATATCTAGGTCTGAATTTAATCTGATTTCCCCTCTGTGAAGTTTCGACTGTCCCCTGTGAAAAGGAGAAAAAAAAAATTATCTTCTAAATCTTAAAAAGCACTTTTTCTTAAAAAAAAAAAAAAAATTTTTTTTTTCTTTTGAAGTAGTCACCTTATAGTCTTTCTAGAGGTCATTTGGCAATTTGTACCAAGACTCTCATAAATGTTCTTATACCCTTTGATCCGAGTAATGCCACTTCTAGGAATTTATCCTAAGGATATAATCAAAGATGCAAAGAAAGATCTGTGTAGGAAAACTTTTTTATGATGAACTGTTTAACAGTAAAACATCAAGAAACTAGATGTTCAGTAGGAGAACGGTTCATTTATAGGAAATCCACACAGCAAAAATTAACAAGTATGTTTTAATATTTTGTAGAAAGGGAAAATGATCCCAAATAATTGCTAATGGATGGTGAATGGTGAAAAAAAAATATATATGTATATATATAAAATATATAATGGTAAATATAATATATTCCTATTGTCGATGGTGGATAATATAATAATGGTGAATATAAAGCTATCTACACAGTCAACTGCAGTCACACTGTCCTCTAAAGTCACCCTGTCATCTACAGTCACACTGACGCAGTGGGAACAGGGAGGGAGATGGGAAGCGGCGAACAGTGAGGGCCACATGTGAGGCCTTTGCGAGGACTGGGAGATAGGGAATGGGAGGGAACTTGGGAACAGAAACCTCACAAGCAAACAGCAACATATAGGGTAAACCGTCACAGAAGATGTGAGGCAAGAGATGGGCAAAGCTGTGGACCCAGTGGGAGGCTGCGAGGCAGAATGCTGACACCCTCATGTGGAGGGACTGATATGTCAGCCACGGCGCTGCAGCTGGGATGGGCTTTCTTTTTTTTTTTTTTTTTTTTTTAAGATTTTATTTATTTATTTGACAGACAGAGATCACAAGCAGGCAGAGAGAGAGAGGGAAGCAGGCTCCCTGCTGAGCAGAGAGCTCGATGCAGGGCTCGATCCCAGGACCCTGGGATCATGACCTGAGCCGAAGGCAGAGGCTTTAACCCACTGAGCCACCCAGGCGCCCCTGGGATGGGCTTTCTGATGAAGCCAAACATGGGATCTGGGAGCCAAAGAGACCCCAGCTGGGGACTTTACTCCTCCAGAGACTGTAAGGTACTGGGTGAGCGTGCCTGTGTGCGTGTCTGTGGGTGTCTAGCAACAGTCTGCTCTGGAAATAGAGCATAGAAGGGAGGTTCATGGGAAGCAGAGCCACAAAGCTGAGTGCTTAATAAGAAAATTAATAAAACTCCACTAGCTTTTCTTCTGTTGTGTCTCTCAGCTTCACGTCTTCACTTTCAAGTGCATCCACTCTGGGCCCAGGCCCTCACCCACTGGTCAGGTACCCTAAGGCAGGACGAAATATCTCTGAAACTTGTCTGAAAAGTTGGTTCACGCCATTTGTAGGGTTTTTTGTCAGGACTAGATAAAAGGATGCCTGGAAAGTACTTAGAACAGTGCCTGGCACAAGGCAAGTAGTTTATCTTTGTTGGCTATTAGTCCTTAGCTCTGATCCCATCTCGTCTTTCTACAGCTGGCGTCTCTTCCAAATTTTCCTCAAGTTCTGCTTTCAACCCTTCCTTTAATACAAAGAATTCTTTTTTTTCGTATTCCACTAGCCAGGTAACTCTCTGAGGGAAAGGGCCTCTCGATCTTGTTCGCACTGCCATCTGTCTCCATCTTCCCCTGCTTGCTGAGACAAGAAAATCAGCGGGGGGCTGCCCACCCACACATCTTCCCTGAGGATGCTATGTCGGGCCCCCACTTCCTGCGGGCCCCCCATTTCTACCAGTGGTTCTCTTACATCATACCCTCACCCACACTCAAAATCAACAGGGGGAAAATGGGCTTATGAGAAACCTTTACTAGAATAACTTGATAGGTTCATTCTGATGAAGGCACAGCATTTACTGGTTTAGACTGCTTAGTTAGGATACTTACCATTTTGGGGTTATACCTCGATTTATTGTAATTTATGGGTAGCCTGACAAGTTCAAACCATTATGTTTACCTACTAACACGTATTATATTCTTTAGGCTTTATATCTGCACCAATAACTTTTTTTAAAAAAAGATGTTATTTATTTGACAGAGCGAGAGAGATTACAAGAACGCAGAGAGGCAGGCAGAGAGAGGGTGGGGGAAGCAGGCTCCCTGCTGAGCAGAGAGCCCGATGCGGGGCTCGATCCCAGGACCCTGAGATCATGTCCTGAGCTGAAGGCAGAGGCTTAACCCACTGAGCCATCCAGGTGCCCGTGCACCAATAACTTTTGTCTTAAAATTAGTTTCCAAGTACCTAAGCTGTTTATTGCCTTCACTGCTTGCAGCTCTTTTTGTAAACTTGATAAAATGCTGCTTACTCTGTTTTTATGTAGTTAAGCTCTTCGTTTTCCCAGTGCACCAGAGCGATTTCATAGGGCTGGATTTCATGCTTTTCTAAGACCTGCATCACGTGTTTCATCTGAAAGAGAAGCAAGATAACCCAGAATTGCACTGACTCTCTCAGTACATAACTATGGTTCAGGGTTAACGCGTTTAACATTTTTCATTACATTTGCTGATGTTTCTTCTGTTTAGTTTTTAATTAGCAATACTCGTGCCTCGGAGAAACCTCACTGACTGTGATCCTGCCACTGTGCAAAGCTCTTCTGCTTAATTTTGAAGGAAAAGGCTAATTCTTTGTGATAGTAAACTCAGCAGGAGATTATATAGTTTTTATATTTAGGAAACAGAGAGTGGCATAAAGAAGAAAATTAAAATGACCCTAATTCCACGACCCAAAGAAAACCAACTAGTTTAACATTATGGTTTGTAGCCTTTATTTAAAAAATATGTTACAAAACTGTAAAAATGTAAACACTATCAAGGTATAGAAAGTGACAATCTCTGCTCTCATGAGTTCTTTTTTTTTTTTTTTTTTTTAAGATTTTACTTATTTGAGAGAGAGCATGCACACATGTGAGCATACAAGTGGAGGGGGGTCAGACGGGGAAGGAAAAGCAGACTCCCCACTGAGCTCGGATCCCAGGACTCCAGGATCATGACCTGAACCGAGGGTAGACGCTTAACTGGCTGAGACATGCAGGACCCCCAAACACAATCATTATAGAAGGCAAAAGTGCTAGGATAAATACCACGTAACACAGAGCGAGTAAGTTGTGGATTATCTGTTAATTTATCTTCCATGACTCAGATTATTGAGGGATAATTACTACTTTTTTTCTCAGAAAACTAGATTTTTACACTTTTATACTTTATATATACTTACAGTTTTATCTTTCACATTCCAGAACACAGCAGCTCCTTCTCTGATTTAAAAGAATAAAAGAACCAACAAAGTTAATGCCAGAATATATTCTTTAGGGCTATACATAAAGTCATGCTTAAGTAACTTCTAGGAGAGATCCAGAAGGCGATTTTTTTAAAAAATGTGATTTATTACTTATCTGACATTATGGTTCCTAGACAGAGTTGTGAAAACAAGAACTATTTTTGAACTCTTGATAAAACCTGAGCTCCCCCAAGTTCATGATTTCTCACATGGCTTGCAGAATAAATATTACTGTAATACTATATAACTTCATGTATCTAGACTGTTTCATACCTGGTTCAATTCTGATGTACAGAATAAGGAAAATTTGGGGACCCGTCTTAGCTCTCATTAAGAATCTATAGCAGATTCTGCTATAGGAAAAGAATAAAGGTTTATGCTTTTAATAGTTATGGAATAAAGAGACTAAGATAAATTAAAGCCAAAGATGGCTAAAAGCACCCAGGGAATAATGCCGCCCATCCCGACAGTGCTTGGAGCAGTATGATGAAGCCACAGGAGGGGCCTGAATCTAGTTCTGGCTTTGAAAAAATGTGAGGTCTAAAAACCATAGATGAACTTGCTTTGATTTTCTGAAGTTTGACATGCTGTACAGTTTTTGATGGTAAATTAAAAAAAAAAAAACAACACGAGAAAGAGGGAGAAATTATGGCTCTGGGTTATTGCTCCGGAGAAAAGAAAGGTGGAAATGAAGAAGAGGTAAAAATTCAGTAGTCCCTATGGTTCTTCAAATGTGTCTTAAGCACTGTGCTCGTCAGCATACGTGTGGGTAGGCACTTTGCATTGGATACAAAGATGAGTTTGGTCTAGTTCTCTCGAGAACTCCTGGTTTAGAAAAGACTGATGACAGACACACCTCCAACTGCAGGTGCCGAGTGGTGACAACTTAGAGAATTATGCAGAATGTACTCTGGAATGTCCATGGGAGGACCTGCGTTCTCATAGGACAAGTAGGGCTAAGCCGAAGGAGAAAAAGCGAGGTGGCAGCACGGCAGAGGGAACGCTGTGGGCTCAGGGAGGAGGGGTGAGGGAGCACGGTGCATCTCGGAATAAACAGCTCGTTGTCTGCAAGGCTGTGGATGTGAGCAAGCAGCAGGCGATTAGGCCGGAGAGGCAGTGACATGGAGTTTGGTCAGGTTCCACGGAACCTGAAGTAGGAGGGTGTAGGGATCAGAAGTGCCCGCTGAACACGGCTCCTGTCTGTGTCGGCCAGACAGAGTAGCAGTGGGCGAGAAGATAGGCAGGGGGACCTGCAGCAGGCTGCGGGAACCCACCGGTGTAGGGTCTAGGTGGTCGGGGTTGGTATCCACAGCCACGCAAGTGGAGTAATTAGTGCAGAGGGTCACTTGTGGGCAGATAAGAGGTCTTGGGATCATGTCCCCTCCATTCAGGAAGCTGTGCCGTGCGCTGTGGCACTCGGAGGCCATAGGGGCTCGACGCCCTTGAATGGGCCTGGTCCACGCCAAGTGACGCTGGTGACGTAAGCCACATAGCGGGTTTTGAAGACCCGATGTGAAAAGAAGAATGGAAAAAATCTTATTAATTATTGACTGATTATATGTTGAAATGATAGCCTTGTGGATATGTTGGGTTAAATAAAGCACATTATTAAAATTCATTTCAGGTGACACATATTATTATTGGGGTTCAAATTTAAATCTTTTTTTTTCACTTTTAAAAATGTGGCTACTAGAAAATGTATCTTTTTTTTTTTAAGATTTTATTTATTTATTCGACAGAGACAGAGATCACAAGTAGGCAGAGAGGCAGGCAGAGAGAGAGGGGGAAGCAGGCTCCCTGCTGAGCAGAGAGCACAATGCGGGGCACGATCCCACCTGGGATCGTGACCTGAGCTGAAGGCAGAGGCTTTAACCCACTGAGCCACCCAGGAGCCCTAGAAAATGTATCTTTACATACGAGCCTTGCATTATATTTCTATTGGATGCTCTCCTGGCTTTCATCTAGAGGCCCACAGAAATTCAAATTCCTCCAAACCGAAGGGGACGCTATTCTACTTGGGCCAAGTGTTGAGCTCTTGATTATCTCCAAAGTTCTGTCAAAAGGAAGGTAAGGCATTGAAAGGAACCAAGCTGGAGCTTCCAGTTATCATCAACCATAGACACTGATATTGCAAAGGTTTTTATCAAAGTTGGGGTTCTTACAGACACTCTATGTAATTCTGTCATAGAACAATCCCATGACTATGAACACTTCCCTTAAGCACTCTCACCCTGAGTTTTCCCCGCTGCAAAAAGGGAATAACAGGCCTCCTGAAGAGCTGTGAGGATAATATGAAATTACTTTAAGTGGTTTCTATTATCATAACCATTCTCACTCAGTTACTCGGGAGTATCTCGTGTTAAAATAACCTTTAACGAGAAGAAGTAAGTATATTTGACTCAGGGTTCCAGCCTGATGTCTCTGGAGAGATAAGGTAGTCTAAAACTAAAGCAAAAGAGTTATAGAAGGAGAAAAAAAAGGAAAAAAGACAGCAGGGTGGGAGCATGAGTCTGGTGGGGAGCCCTGAAGATGAATGGAAAGTAGGAAGCTTTACTTACTCTCAGAAACAAGAATCCGGATTTATAAATAAAGAACATGCCATGAAAAAATTATTTGTTTTCAAAATTATTTTTGTTATCAGGATTTACCAGAAAATTCCTAAAACTGACAAAGTCTCCTCGATCAAATAAGTATCAAAGGAGAAATTTAAATCACAAGTAAATTTGGACACATTTACTATTAAGGAAGGAGGTACACCTTCAAGGTTAAGGACCATGTTATCGGGACAGCAACATGCAGAAGAATGAAACTGGACCACTTTCTTACACCACACACAAAAATTGATTCAAAATGGATGGAAGACCTAATGTGAGATAGGAAACTATCAAAAAGCTAGAGAGGAACACAGGCAGCAACCTCTTTGACTTAGGCTGTAGTAACTTCTTACTAGACATGTCACCGGAGGCAAGGGGAACAAAAGCAAAAATAAACCATTGGGATTTCATCAAGATAAAAAGCTTCTGCACAGTGAAGGAAACAGTCAACAAAACTAACGCAGCCTACAGAATGGGAGCAGATATTTGCAGACGACCTATCAGAAAAAGGGCTAGTATCCAAAATCTACAAAGAACTTACCAACCTCAACACCCAAAAAACAAATAATCCAGTTAAGAAATGGGCGGAAGACATGAAAAGACTTTTCTCCAAAGAATACACACAGATGGAAAACAGGCATATGAAAGGATGCTTGACATCACTCAGCATCAGAGAAATACAAGTCAAAATCATGATGAGATACCACCTCATACCTGTCAGAATGGATAAAATTAGCAACACAGAAAACAACAGATGTTGGTGAGGTTGTGGAGAAAGGGGAACCATCTTGTTGAGGGGAATGCAAGCTCGTATACAGCCACTCTAGAAAACAGTATGAAGTTTCCTCAAAAAGTTGAAAACAGAACTACCCCATGATCCAGCAACTGCACTACCGGGGATTTACCCAAAGGACACAAAAATACTGATCTGAAGGGCCACATGCACCCTGAAGTTTATAGCAGCATTACCAACAATAGCCAAACTGTGGGAAGAGCCCAGAGGCCCATTGACAGATGAGTGGATAAAGAAGTGGTATATAATGGAGTGTTACTCAGCCACCAAAAGAATGAAATCTTGCCATTTTCATCGACATGGATGGAGCCTGAGTACATTATGCTAAGTGAAATAAGTCAAAGAAAGACAAATACTATATGATCTCACTCATATGTGGAATTTAAGAAACAAAACAGATGAACATATGGGAAGGGGGGAAAAGAGAGAGAGATGGCAACAAACCATGGGAGACACTTAACAATAGAGAACAGAGGGTTGATGGGAAGTGGGTGGGGGGATGGGCTAGATGGTAATGGGTATTAAGGAGGGCATGTGTTACGATGAGCACTGGGTGTTTTATATATAAGGGAGGAATTACCAAATTCTACTCCTAAAACCAATTATTACACTATATGTTACTAACTAGAATTTGAATAAAAATTCAAAAAAGAAAGAAAATTACAATGTAGAAAAGGTATAAAATGCAGAAAGATAAAAATAAACTATCTGTGGTTCTTACCACTTGGGGGAAAAAAAAAGACCACATTATCTGACCACAGGCCCATTTCCCAGAAGGGCTGCCCACTTGTCTTACCTGAAGAAGAATATTGTTCCAGGATCACCTTCTTTAGCAGAGTGTTCCACACCCATCACCAAAATGTTTGCTGCATCTGTGATTTGAAATTGAGGCGTGAAAAACTACCACCATATAGTGACTCAAGGTTTACGAGTCACCTATGAACTTTTATTAAAGTCCTTACGATCAACCCATCGTAGATCAATAAGTGCTCTGTAACATTCTGTCCATTTTTAGGTTTCTAAAAGTATTCAACATATGAAAATGAAAGACTATAAGAAATTACTTTCACAAAACAGTGAAACACCTGTGACACTATTATTAGTACTACTTAAAACCACTCACTGACACCCATCTTCATTCACAGTAATCACTAGTCCAGTTAATAATGATTAAAGTCTTAGTTTTAATGCAACTAAGATCCAAGAATTAAAATTTCCACAAAATTCTCCTTTCAATACCATTTTGTTAATAAAATAATTTTAATATTTTCAAACTATTCATTTTGATGGTTTTTAAATTATATATAGTGTGAGACAACAGAAAATATACAGAAACAAAGATACTGACCACTTCAAAACATATCTGAGTTCAAAGTTAATCATGAGAACCAACACTGTGGCCACCTGTAACTATTTAAATACTTATAACCTTTTAAATATTATTAAATATGTATTAATATACATATTAATATACAGTCATCAACAAGTAGTTGCTTTATTAGCATAATTAATAATTGTTGTAAGTACAAAATATTCTAGAACATAAATTATAAATATACGTGAACATGTCAATTAATATATTAATGTTAATGTGCAACACCTAAAATTACCTAAACCTAAAATTAGAACCAACGAAATTTCAGAGTTCCTAGTAGAGACTGGGGAATGGGGCATTCAGATAACGACCAAATCCTACACTACCTTTTTTGGGTGAGGTTTAACTTCCCTAAGCACTACATCCTACAGAGGGCAAAGTTCACCTGTGTACCCAAGAGCAACATAAATGAAATGGAAAAGACCCAGGGCAATGGGACTGGTACTAGAAGCTAGCCAGGCTGCGGTGCACAGGGTCAGACTGCTGACAGTCTTTGTAATCAGCCAAGGATACACCTGGAAACTTTTTTATCATCATGGTTCTGGACATAAGCTCTGGTTTTCTCAGTTAATTGTGCTTGTTTCTACCATCAAATGGCACAAGGAGTCTGTACCAGCCACCAAGGCTGAAAGAGCACAGTGACATTTCATGTGTTTCTTACGGGGTCAATGACCCTTTGAAGAATTTTCTAGGTAGCAGGGAGGTTTTCAACCTGCTGTTTTTGCTACTTAGTGGTAAATTCATTAATTTCCATCAGAGTGTTCCAAGTTACTTATTTTTTAATACAAAACAGGCTCTTTTTTCAAGAATCCTTCCTGATACTGTCCTAAAATTGTTAAGTTTATTTTAATTCTTTTTTTCAATATTCTTTGTATTTCTCATTTCATTAATTTCATTAGTTTTCAAGTATCAGATTGTGCTGGTAAATTTTTCTATAAAGGCTCTCCCTACGTTTCTGTTAATTGCATGGTTCTTCTGTAACACTAAAACAACTTTTTTTTTTTAAGATTTTATTTATTTATTTGACAGAGAGAGAGAGATCACAAGTAGGCAGAGCAGCAGGCAGAGATAGAGGGGAAAGCAGGCTCCCAGCTGAGCAGAGAGCCTGATGCGGGGCTCCATCACAGGACCCTGAGACCATGACCTGAGCTGAAGGCAGAGGCTTAACCCACTGAGCCACCCAGGTGCCCCCTAAAACAACTTTTTAATGCAATAGAAATGAAGTGTCACAGCCTTTGATCATCCCAAGTCATGGTGATCCTACAAATAAAGCTTAATAAACCATACTGATTTTAATCTGAGAGCTAAGTTCTGTGTAAATACATTTTAATTTCTTATCTTTGCCATTTGTATAAAGAGACTCAACATCATTTTCATGATACAATCCTTTATTTTTTTTAAAGATTTATTTTAGAGAGAGAGAGAGAATGTGCTCATGGAAGCGTGCAGTGGGGCGGGGGGGTAAAGGGAGAGGGAGAGAGTCCCAAGCAGACTCCCCACCAATCGCGGAGCCCAATGTGTGGCTTGATCTTATGACCTTCATCAGGACCTGAGCAGAAACCAAGAGTTGGATGCTTAACCAAACATGCTACCCAGGCACTCCTGATAGAATCTTCTAAATAGAAAACGGAATGTAAACAAATGCATATTTAAGGCGTATCACAGGAAAATTATTTTCCAATACATTTTAACATACTTGGCCCCAGGTTCAAGAAGATGTACCTCTAGGCAAGCTGGTTACTTCAACGTATCCGTGGGAGGCCAGATCTTGAGAGAGAGTCCCGAGATGGTATTCATCTGCAGTCGCAAACGCTGTGCAGTGCATCAGGTCCTATTTGGACGACATCAGCATGACATGGGTTACCAAGAGGTTAAACTGACGGTGATCACCTCCCAGCACTCCATCTGGCAAACCAAGCTCTTGAGAATTTTCATCAAAGCTCTCAAAGGCTCATACAGGGAACACGATGAGGGTGAAAAGAAAGAAGGGACAGGGAGATGGATTTCAGCCCAGTCTATGGGGACTTTCTCCTGCCAGCCCCCAAAGAGATGTAACGGGCTATCCCGAAAACAGAGCTGCTCCCCCAGTGGTGGTGGTGTAAGTGCAGATTGAACAAAAGATACGGAGAGGGTTAAGGCATCATACGGCCCTGGGTGGGGCCCATATGACACCCAGGCGAGCCCATCATAGCAGCATTATTTGAGGCCATGTGATAATTTTTCACTAGTCTCATACAGCAGAGAGGGCTTCACATCTACGAAGGAAGTACAGAACTCTTACTCTGGTTACTATTAAACAAAAAGTTGTGTTTATCTGATGATGTGTCCGGGTTTCGTTAGTGCATGGAGTCTTGTCTGTGTACATACATGTACATGTGCTGTGTGTGTGCAGCACACAGATGGTAAGGGGCGTGGCATAGCACACTGGTCTGTCTCACTGTAAGTCACAACCCATCCGTGGGACCTGCTACCGATCTACTTGGTCCAAACCAGCTTTTAAAAAGAATTAAAGGGGGTGCCTGGGTGGCTCAGAGGGTTAAGCCTCTGCCTTCGGCTCAGGTCATGATCTCAGGGTCCTGGGATTGAGCCCCGCATCGGACTCTCTGCTCAGCAGGGAGCCTGTTTCCCCCTTTCCCTCTGCCTGCCTCTCTGCCTGTTTGTGGTCTCTCTCTCTCTGTCAAATAAATAAATAAAATCTTTAAAAAAAAAATAAAAAGAATTAAATACAACAAAATAGAAAATATTACCATGCATCATTCAGAGCATAGGTTAATGTTATTTTATGAAGTTTTTTTTTGGTCACATATGCATATCTAAGTACGTATAATATAAAATATATTTCTCACTAGAGGATGAAGTCCATTAAGTTCAAAAGCTATTGGCAAAGGTTTCATGAGTTTGGTACAGAATCTGAACAGATTTTAAGAAAAAAATCAGGATGACAAAATACCTACTTATAGCACTGTTGTGAAATTTAATTTAAATTTTTAAAAAGATTTTATTTATTTATTTGACAGCCGGAGATTACAAGTAGGCAGAGAAGCAGGCAGAGAGAGGAGGAAGCAGGCTCCCCGCTGAGCAGAGAGCCCGATGCGGGGCTTAATCCCAGGACCCTGAGACCATGACCGGAGCCAAAGGCAGAGGCTTTAACCCACTGAGCCACCCAGGCGCCCCAAGATTGTTGTGAAATGTTAAAAAGCTGATGAATGTCCATCACTCAGAATCACGGCTAGCACAAATGGTCAGTATGTGTGAGATTATAGTTATCACTATTACGGGTATGGGTATGTTTAAACCATCGAGATTTATGGGAGGAAAAAAAGTTTACCAAGTAATTTACATCTGAATTTTCGTATGTTCATAATTTTATATTTCCGACCAGAACATGAGTGACTCTATGGTCATGTGACACCTATGCTGCTTTGGCCCACCACTGGTTAAAAGAGGTTTATGAGTCACTGAATCAAAATTTACTCCTAGGAGTTACTAATCTCAGCATTAAGCCCTTTCCCTTTCTGTTACATTGCTAGTACAGAGTTTCAGAAAAGTAGTATATTAATTCCTTCCCCTCTCCCACGTTTGTTACCTAACTCCTGGCCCTATCGCAAGAAATGGCCTAACCCTGCCTAACCCTTTTCCTTAACCCATTATGCCGTTTTCATATGTGGTTTAAAAAGTAGCAGAGGAATAAAGAGAGGAACTGAGGATACACACAAACCGAAAAACCCAACATCAATCAAATATCCAGTCATCACCAAAATGATTTTAACTTAATAAGAAAAAAAAAAAGAAAAAAGCAAAGTCAGACAAGCAGAAATTGCTCTGGGATGTGAGGATAAATGAATGTAGGCCGCCTTCCTTTTGCAGGAAGGTATCTGATAAGCTGATTCCCAGACTCACTGGGAATCAACCTGCGGATAAATCATATGGATTCATACAGCCAGAGTAGAGATAATATAGTTAGTTACAGAGGAATCAAGTACATGCTTAAGGTTAGAACTGCTAATACTATCTGTTCTTTTCAGGCTCTGTGGAGTTAGGAGCTGACCGGACGTGTGATTTAAGCGGGATGGAAGAGAGGAATCCTGGTGACAGGCATCAGGAAAGGTCGCCGTGCAGGAGACCCAACGAATTTACTGAGGCTTGCCAAGCAAAAGCACAGTAGGTTCGGCTGGACGTAAGAATTACTTCTGTGACTACTACTTGACACGCTTTGTCTGGGCCGGAGGGAGAAGAGCAGGAAGCACAAAAAAGAGATGAGCAGAGGGGTGCCTGGGTGGGTCAGTCAATTAAGTGTCCAACTCTTAATCTCAGCTCAGGTCTTGATCTCTGGGGCATGAGTTCAAGGACCCGTACTGGGCTCCAGGCTGAGTATGGAGCCTACCTAAAAAAAATTGGGGCACCTGGGTGGCTCAGTTGGTTAACCGTCTGCCATGGGCTCAGGTCATGAACCAAGAAAACATCTGGTTTCTGCTCAGTCCTGGGATAGAGCTCTGAGTCGGGCTCCCGGCTCAGTGTGGAGCTGCTTCTCCCTCTCCCTCTGCTGCTCCCCCTGCTGTGTTGTAGCTCTCTGTCAAATAAATAAATAAAATCTTAAAAAACAAAAAAGGACCCTTTAAAAAAAATTAAAAAAAGAAAGAGAGAGAGAGAGAGATGAGGAGATAAGAGGGCCCCAGCCCTAGAACTATTCCAGTGAATGATCTTCCCGTAACTGCACTGGAAGTGGCTGAGGACAACTGTGTCTAGAATCAGAATTGGCAGCTCAGAGAACTGTCCAACTCAAGAGGTGACCCATCTAGTGTTGTTGTTTTGTTTTCTGGTTTCATTTATTTATTTATTTATTTGACAGAGATCCCAAGTAGGCAGAGAGGCAGGTGGGGGCGGGGGGGGGGAAGCAGACTCCCTACCAAGCAGAGAGCCCGATGCGGGACTCGATCCTAGGACCCCCAGACCATGACCTGAGCTGAAGGCAGAGGCTTTAACCCACTGAGCCACCCAGGTGCTCCTGTTGTTGTTTTTTAAAAAAAGACTTTATTTGTGAGAGAGAGAGAGTGAGTGTGTGTACAAGTAGGGTAGCAGCAGGCAGAGGGAGAAGCAGGCTCCCCACTGAGCAAGGTGCGAGATGTGGAACTCGATCCCAGAACCCTGGAATCATGACCTGAGCTGAAGGCAGGTGCTTAACCCACTGAGCCACCCAGATGCCCCCTAACTACTATTTTTAAGATTTGAATTCACTGTAACAACAAATTGAGATTTCACACAAAACCCAGATTTCCACCAACTTTCGATCAAGCAGAAGGTCTGGCAATGATCAACTGAGGTTGAGGAAGGGGTCCCTGTTCCCCAGCACACCCAGGCCCCCCAACTCCCGGCTGTCTCCTGCCTACCCCACCATTATGTGTTACTGACCAGACTCGTCCATGCACTACTGCGCACTCTCAAGGATGGGACAAGGCAAGGCATTCAGTCACCGCTTCCATGAGAAAACACACTGAGTTCCAAAGGGATTAAAAATGAATCTCAAAACACAATGTTTTTACTTAGCCAAGGATTTTTACAAACTTTCTAGAGATTGTCACATTTCCTTCTCTCGCTGTCTCTGGTTTGGTTTGGCTCACGGTTCTGGCCAGCATCACACAGCTCACCTGGCGTTGCCACACTACTACTCTCTGTATCCTCCTTAAGCCTCTCGATCGCAGTCTCTCTTTAACTTATGGCTTCTTCTATTAATAAATGATTCACAAAGTTCTTCAGTTTTATTTGTTAGATTTTTTTTTTTTAGTTTTATATCCCTCAAGTTTCAAGACTGTACTCAAATCCATTTGGTAAAGGGAAAGAGAGGCCCATGGAATATGTTGTATTCACAAGCCCCCCCACCCCTGTTTGATGATATTGTTACATTGTGAAAAGCTTTTGTTTTCATACAAGTTTTTTTTCTGGGTTTTTATAATGAATCACATATCTATATGTAGAGAGAACAAACTTCAGGGTTTAGGATGGGATCAACAACTTGTTCTTAAATAAATGTGCCAAATTAACCTAAAATAGTTACTGCATTTAACACCTAAGCTTGGGCCTTTCTATTTTAAAGTGTTAAAAAAACAAAAACAAAACCCTAAAACCCAAAGCCAAGAAAGCCACAATATGTATTTCATTTTTCTGGCCACAGAAAACATGTTCCAGCAGATGGGGCTAGAAATCTATATATGATTCTTGTTTTAGCGCATCACACACTCTGATGGAACACTTTTCTTGAAAAAGAAAGTTTATTTTTATTCACATTCTAGTACTGAAGAAAATTAATGCGTTACTGCAATGTTGTTTCTGTGTCACAGAAAGAAAAATGCATGTTTTTCCTGTTATGTATAGACTGCAGATGAAAGTTATAAAACACAAATACATTTTACATTACTAGTACAACACTTCGTCAAAAAACTCCAGTTTTTTGACTACCCTCTGTGGCAAGAAAGCCTTATGAATACACAGTACACAGAGGCATATAGATCAGTAGCTGACACAAAAAATTCACAAAATAGTATTAGCTCTACCATGAGTAATACATTCTGATGCTTTCTATTCTATTTCACTAAAAAATCCCCCAAGAACAGACAGACAACTATGAACAACCCCCTAGTTAACTTTGCAGCACACAGTGGTGCTCCTCTAAAAACCACCAGCAGGCCCCTGGCCCTTTCCCTATTGTGCCCATCTCCATGCTGCTTGGGGCCACGGCTGTCATCCTCCACCATCCTGAGACACAGGACCCGTGACCAAGAGGCACTGTTGTTGAACTGGTAAACTACGAGCCAATGGCACTGGGCTAAACATCTTAGTAGGTTCATCTCCGCAAGTGACACCAGGTAAAGATTTGATTCCAGGAGAGCGAGCGAGCTCAGGAGCCCGTGTGGGGTTCCAGACAAAGCACACATGCTCTCTGGAACAAGGGAGAGTCCTTCCTGTCTCAGTCCAGAGCAGGAGAAAAGGCTATACAGCCACAAAGCATTCGCCAGCCCCACGATGCCCATGTGACAACGGGGTACCCCTCCAGCTGGGGCAGATAAAAGCCAGTCTTCTGCTTTGGGGGTACAGTACCTAGTCACACCTTCCTTCATTGAAGGAAGTCAACTATGCAGTCGGAAAAAAACAAAACAACACTAATTAAACATGCTCAAGGTCTACTTCTCAGAATCAAGATTTTCAGACAGACATTCTAACCTGTTTTCTGATAGATTCAGAAGGCCTGATCAAGTTTTAAATATTTATGTTCCCACTTTTAATGTGGATGACTACGGACACCAAAGATCCCTTTGCCTCCCTTCTCTCTTTTCCAACTTAATAAACATTTATTAAGTATTAGGTACGGTTCTAGGTATTAGCAAGATACAAAAGTGGGCAAAGGGCTTGATCTGGACCTTAAACAGTATTGATCATTTAGAACGGAAATGCAATTGTAGCTGAGCAATTCCCATAAACCTCTTTTTTTTTAAGATTTTATTTATTTATTTGACAGACAGAGATCACAAGTAGGCAGAGAGGCAGGCAGAGAGAGAGGGGGAAGCAGGCTCCCCGCTGAGCAGAAAGCCCGATGTGGGGCTCGATCCCAGGACCCTGAGCCAAAGGCAGAGGCTTTAACCCACTGAGCCACCTAGGCGCCCCTCCCATAAACCTCTTAACAGTGAATAAAAAAAAAAACAAAACCCTTTGACCCTCAAAGGCTAAAGAAGCAAAACCTCTCACTTTTTTCTGACTGTACCTTGCCATGTCATTTTACTACTCGATCTCATACAGTTACCACAGGCTAATGAGTGCTTACCTGTCTGCACAGCTACTAAAAAATGTTTTGTTTTTTTTTTAATTTGATGACAAATTTCTACAGTCCAAATTTTTCTTGTTTTAAAATTTATTTGACAGACAGAGATCACAAGTAGGCAGAGAGGCAGGCAGAGAGAGAGGAAGGGAAGCAGGGTCCCTGCCAAGCAGAGAGCCCGATGCGGGGCTCGATCCCAGGACCCTGGGATCATGACCTGAGCCGAAGGCAGAGGCTTTAACCCACTGAGCCACCCAGGCGCCCCAAAATGGGCTTTTTTTTACAGTACCGTTCCAACACTGGACTTAACACTAGTCTTCTTCCTCAAAGTTTCCTTAAGTCAATAACTAATCTTTTCATAAACTGTATTTTTATACTTAATTGCTTAAACTTTGTCTTTATACATACTATTAATTCTTAAAACTTAGATGTTGATTCCCTAGGGCACCAGTGTAGTTAAGTGTCTGAATCTTGATTTCAGCTCAGGTTGTGATCTCAGGGTAGTGAGATCGAGCCCCACTTTGGGCGCTGTGCTCAGAAGGGAGTCTGCTGGAGAGTCTCTGTTCCCATTCCCCCCTCTGTCCCTTCCCCTACTCACATGAGTGTGTGCTCTCTCTCAAATAAATCTTAAAAAAAAAAAAAAGAAAAGATGGTGGTTGCTTTTGGATATCACAGATTTTACTACTAGGCTTCAAGGGTCTTGCGGCCAGCTCTCTTAGGTTCACAGTAAGGCTATGTTCCATGGACAGTAGTGACAGTGCAAGTGAGGATTACAAAACAGAATGCCACCACCACACGTTTTTACCTCATTCACAGACAGAACTGGAAGGTTGGTCCTGGATGGCTGCCTGGTCCTTGATGCTTTTAGTGGTCTCTTGATTTGCGGAAAGTCTTGTTTAGGAACTAGTGTTTCCGTTGATGGAGATGAGTAATGCCGCTCTAATATTTTTATAAACCACTTAGAACCTAAGAGATTTGGTCTGTGAGTCACTTTCCTGTGAGTACCAAAAGATTTCCTGGTTGGAAGGTGCATTTTTTCATCCTGGCGATGCGCAGCATTTAATGGAGAGAGTATGCTTGTATTTGAGATTTTCGGACTCATTTCCAGGACCGGGGACTTACTCAAACCACCAGCTGCTGTCTCAGGAAAGAACAAATCCAAGTTCTGACTTCTCACCACGGTGCTGCATGTTGTAGTCTCAAATTCTTTCTGTGGCTTTAGTGTTCGGTGGACAAGTCTTTGGCACTGACATATTTTTGATAAAATACAGTGAGATCCGGCCAGGGCTCTGAACAGTCTGGCTGACATTACCACATCCCAAGCTAAAAGAAAAAGAATTCGAAGTTCAAAGTGTTTTTTTTTCTGCATGTTTTCAAATATATACAATATTTTCCTAGGTACTAAAAATATTTCTGTAAAAACATTTGCAAAACAAATATACCTTAACCTAAGTCTAGTAAAAGAATGAGGTTAAAAAAGTAAATACAAGTGTAATTACAACCTAGGCTTTTCCAAGTCCAAAGACAACATGATAACCACTGTGCTATATTACCTACCTCTAGAAGGAAAAGAACCAGGGCGAGTCACAGCCATGTTTAGAAGCTACTGCCTCTAAAATATCTCAAAAGCTGGAATTCCATGTTTAGTTCTAGTCCAAGTAGCTATTATAGTTCACCTTAAATTAGTACTACTCTTTGCCAGTTGAACCAGTGGGTTTTGAAGAAACGAATTATAAAAAATTTTAGAAATTTGTATACACTGGTTCTCCCCTATTCTCTTCTACAAAATTCTTACCTTGGAAACTAAAGACTGCCTTCATACAGGCCACGCAAAGCACTAAGACAACGCAAAAGGAAGAGGACAAACAAGTAGTGTGTTTTCTCTCTGTCTTTGTAGAGGAAGACAGATGTAGCATTTAAGGTGTCCGACACACACACACAAAATTTAGGTTTTGTTAAAAATTGGGCCACATCTCAGGAAAGTGAAATTTTAATTGCACAAACTACATTTAAAGGTTAAAAGTATATTAGATTGTTAATTACTCTAAAAGCTCTCCATAAGCTTTGTGTGTTATCACCAACTACAACCTCATATGCTCGGTGTCAAGCATTCCACTCCGAACTCCATGTCTGGTCTTTAAAAACGCACTCCTCTTCCTCATTTCCCACAACGCTTCAACCCCAACAGGACCAAACAACTCAAGGATCCAAACAGCCTGTTAGTGCCCCTCGTTCCCCACTCCTCACTTCTGCCACGCTCAGTAGACATTCTGTGGTCTACCGCCTCTCTTTCCCCCACATACCTCGAATCGCTTGCATCCCTTTCTCTCCCACATGCCCATGTGACATCACATCCACCGAAATTAAATGTAATTCACCTAATATGTGCCTGCCTCTGAACGTGGCCATAGACAACCAACCAACTAACCAACCAAGCCAACTGGTCTCACTTTAAAATCATGGCCGCCTCCTTCAGGAACGCCTTTCACAGTGCTCAACACCCATAACCCATTTCCCTACCAGAGTCTACTCTGTGCTCTCTCCTCATACCTCCACTGCCTCCTCTTCCCTTCTCATTCTTGAAAGACCTTGCTTCCTCTTTCATGGACAGAACAGAAGAGAATTTCCACAAGCTCTCACCATGATCCACCTGCCCAATGACTGCTTCTGTGCCTATGTATTTGGTCTTCCCTTCCGCTGCCACAGATGAGTTGCCCATGGTCCCACCAGGAACCAGGTCCTCCATGTGCACACCAAGTCTCAGCCCTTCCTGCCTCTAGCAGGAATGGTTAAACCCTCCTTTCCTCTTTCGCGCTATTTGTTTTTCCTTCTTTCCAGCATATATATATATATGCTGAAAAGAAGTCTTAATATATGTATGTATATATATGTATATATGTATATACATTAAGACTTTATGTATACACATATATATATAAAATATATATATATGTGTATACATAAAGTCTTAAAATACATATGTTTTAAGACTTTATCTATCCCAGAGAGAAAGAGAGCAGGAGTAAGAGCAGAGGGAGAGAGACAAGCAGACTCCACGCTGAGCACAGAGCCTAATGCAGGGCTTGATCTCAGGACCCTGAGCCGAAACCTAGAGTCAGATGCTTAACTGACTGAGCCACTCAGGTGCCCCTTTCCAGAATATTCTTATTAGCATATGACTATGCTTTAATATTTCTCTATCTTATAAAAACAACTCTCCCCTGATCCCATCTTTCCCTCCATACACTATACCTTTGCTCTCAGTTCCTTCCTTTAGAAGTTTTATTAACTATCTCTAACTCCTCTAATTTTCTTGAATCCACTTCAATCAGGCTATCATCCCTACCACTTCGCCAAAACTCCCTTGGCAAGGCCACCAATGAGTTCCATATTTCTAAGTCCAGTGGTCACTTCCATCTTCGTTTTAACTGACTTACTGGCACTCCACCCTCCTATTCCACTTGGCTTCTGGGATAGGACACTGGCCATTTTCCTCCTACCTCATTGGTTGTAACTTCCATCTCTTTTGTGTTTTCCTATCCCCTCAACAATCAAAAGCACCACGGCTCAGTACTTGAGCCACTTTTCTTCTCTATTCTCAGCTCCTTATATGCAACCTACACATTGATGAATAGCAAATATTTATTCCTAAGTCAATATGATGAATAGCAAATATTTATTCTTAACCCACTCTGATAAGCATGAAAAACACAACATGCTTAAAACTGAGCTTCTGAAATCTTCCCACAAGTTCTATTCTTCCCACAGTCTTCCCCACTCACAAAATAGCAATTATATTCTTATCTTTGCTAAAGGCAAAAACCTACAATCCACCTTGCCTTTTCATTCCTCATACCCAGTATGTCAGCAAATCCCACTGGCTTTATTTGCACCAGGTCTGGACCGACACTGCTACCACCCTGGTCTAAGCTGCTGTCTTTCCCATGATTATTGTAATAGCCACCTAACGGGTCTCCCTGCCTCTATTCTTTGTCTCCTGCAGATTCTTCTCAACACAGCAACAAAAGCAACCCTTCGAAGACCTATGCCAGATCACATCTTTCTTCTTGCACCAAATTTCATGCTGCCCTCTCCTCTTACTTGAAATAAAAGCCAAAGACCTTAAAATGGATGCATGGTCCTACATTCTCCGACCTTTTATCTCCACCTTAACACCTTAACACCTGCTACAGCTCTATGCCTTGCTCATTTTGCTCCAGTCACTCTGGATCTTGGTATTTCTTTGTACTGGCTGCTCCTTATCCTCTTCTGAGAATCTATAAGGCTCATTCTCTCACTGCCTTCAGATCTTTGCTCCAACAGATCCCACCCAGCAAAGTCTTCCCAAACCACTTCATTTAAAATGCACAACTATCTACCTCTCCTGTTTATTTTTCTACTGCATTGAACATCGCTTGAATGCCTTGTATTTCTAATTTGTAAACTCATACAACAAAGATGAACTGAGTTCCTACCATGTGCCAGACTTTGTCCCAACTGCCAATACGCATGAAAATAAAACAGACAAAAATCCTTGACTTTTGAAACTTACATCACACTGGAGATGACAGAGCATAAACTGGGTGAGTAAAATATATGTTAAGCAGTGACAAAGCCAGGGGCGCCTGGATGGCTCAAGGTCAGTGGAGCCTGGGGCTCTTGATCTCCAGGCTGTGAGTTTGAGCCCCAGGTTGGGTGTAGAGATTATAAATAAATAAATAAATAAATACTTTTAAAAAATAGTGACAAAGCTAAAGGAGAAAACAGAAGAGGAAAGCACAGATTTCGCTCTCCCTTCCGTAGAATGTAAATTTCTTGAGGACAAGACTTGTCTTCCTTCCATGCTGTGTCTTCTGTGATCACAGAAGTGCCCAGTATACAGCAGGTATTCAACTCCTATTTTCTGAATGAAATACAAGGCAGCTACTCAGTTACTGGGCACATTTCCTACTTCTTAACAGTAGTATTAAATAAGAAAACAGTATCAGCCAGGTTACGATTCAACGGATAAGGGGCGCTAATCTTTGGGAGCATGCCTTCCAATTCCGTAAGCTCATTTTTTTTTTTTTTTAATCTTTGCGGTAAGCGTTATGCACTGGCTCAGAAAAACGTTCAGTAAGGGCTTATGGATTGCGTGCTTTTCCACTCCCAGCTAAGTCGATCAAAGACCACCGCAGCGGTTCCGGCGAAACCTGTGACCCGAGCGGTTCAGAGTGGCCGGGATCAAAGGTGAGGACCGCTGTAAGGGCCCGTACAAGTTGGCTAGGGAAAGGTCGTGCACTAACCTCTCCGACGGAAAAGAAGAGGGACGTGCCAGGCGCACAAGCTTCCGCGACCCGGCTGCAGGTCAGATACAAAGCCGTCCCCAAACCTCCCGCTTTCCGCAGCCTGCACTGCAGCTCCGGCGACCCTCCCTACGCCCGCACTGCGCAGACGCGCAGCACCCCAGGCCCGGCAGAGCGTGAGCCGCCGGGTGCACGTGACTGCCGGACCACGTGATCCGCGTCGCCGCGACCTTTTCCGCTCCGTAGTGCCTGGTACCTCCCGGTCCCTGCTTGCTTCCGCCTCCGCCCGCTTCCTTATTCCGCTGCTGTCGTCGCCCTCAGCTGTCCCCGCCCTCGTCCCCGGAAGATGTCGCTCTCCAGCCCTGCCGGCCGTTGTTTGTCTCTTGCACGGGCACCAAATAAAGTTTCTTCATTCAAACGCATTTTTTTTAACCCATGCCCCGCCCTTTCTCAGCCCCTCCTTGGCGCCGGAACCGCCTATCTCGCGGCAGCGGTGCGACGTGAGCGTCGGCGCCGGCACCGGCGCGGCGGAGGTGATGGCAGCGCCCCCGGCGTCTCTCTCGGGACGGGACGAGGGGTTCGTGTCTCTTTCCTCGCCCAGTCCCTCCGCTGCTCTTCTTCTCCCCGCTTCTGCGGAAAGCCGGGCCTCGTCGGGAACGTCTGGGTAGCCATCAGGGGAGTTGCGGCGGGCCGGGGGCGCCCGGTCCGGTCGTTGGGCCCCGCTCCCTGGCGCCCTGGCTCCGCTCTCTCCTCCCGGCGGGGAGCGAGGCGGCCCGGGCAGGGGGCCGAGCCCTCTGGCTGCGGCTGCCCGCCGGGCTCCGGGCTCGGATCGGCTTCCAGCCTTCTCCCTGGCTGCTGGGAGCGGACGACGCACCCCGCCGAAATCCTCGGGTCACCCCGCTTCTGTCTCCTGTCCTTGTTCAGGCCTTTTAGTAGGCTTATGTTATAATTTATGGCCAACAGTTAACTTGTGATCGGATGCTGCTGTTTCGTTTTGTTTTACTCGTGACGGTCGTGAGAGTTTGTGCCTCCTCTCGCCCCGCTTTCAGGGTGTTAGAGCGGCATGGCTTTAATCATCTTTTATTTATTTCCTTTAATAAACGCACTTTCGGAGGCCTCCTTTTTCTGCAGAAGTTAGGAATCTCGGATTTACTGAGAAATGTTTCTTCCTATTGCCGTTGAGATTAATTCGTGATCTCACTATCAGTGCCTGGAGGTTCTCGCTTTTTACGTGTCATATCACGGATTTCTAGATAAAAGTTGTGGGTGACCATAAAAAATAAGTATTTGTATAAATTGGATGGCGAAATTTGTATTTTGAGATACGTCTTGCAAAATGTTGCCCCCCAAAAAAGGGGGGAGGGGGGTAACTAGAGGAAATTGACCTTAACGGGAGTAGGTTGAAGCTGGAGAGGCACCAATGGCCCAAAACTTGAGCAGGCACTCATTCAGTCATGCAAAATAGAAGGGAGTGTGTGGAACCTTAAATTTTGAGCTCTAGGTTCCTCTGGCTCTACCTTAGGCCTGGCCTCGGACTTTACCTTCCCAGATGCAGTTCTTTGAGGAAACTTTGAGGAAATTTAGTACTGTTGACCTTTAAACAAGGTGGGGGTGGGTGGAGGTTAGGGCCCCGACACCCCTCCTTTCCTCTTTTTTTGGAAAATCTGCATATAACTTCCGACTCTCCCAAAACCTAACTACTTAATATATTTTGTGTCTGGTGATCTGAAGATATAAATGAACTGATCAGCTAAGTTTTGTGCTCTAAAAATGCACAGAATTTCATCACTTCCTGAAGTCTTTTTTCTAGCTGAATGATATGCATTTGCTTAAAAATTAATTATATATAAAATGATAATCTATAAATCTTGATTTTTGTATGCCTAACATCCAGAGTACTGTAGTTTTTTTTTTTTTTTTTTTTTTTTTAATGCAAGTATGCTCAAGTTTTTCCTCCAGATTTTTTCATTCTTTGACAATTCTGGAAACTCTTCTAATTTTTTGGTTGGGAGAGTGCAATGGTAACATGCCTTAATTTTTGTGGGGGCAGAGTAGGATGGATAGAGTCATTGTGCAGGTAGAGAAGGCAGGAGAGAAAACCTTTGAAGAGAATTAAAATGGGCTAAGAATATAGACTAAGAGAAAAGCTGGTTTATAAATATCTTTTATTCCTCATGTTCTAGCACATTAGAGGCTTTTGCCTCATTCATCTAAGTATGTGAAGCCACTTAGTAATAAACCCAGAACAAGAGCCTGTTTGAAGTTTAGTATAAATTATTTTATCCTATTTTTTTTTTAAGGATAAATCCTTTTTCTGTCCTATCACATTGTTAAGTCAGTTTCTGAGTCAAGAAAATAAAAGGAAGAGAATGGGAAAGATAAGAATCATGGAACAGTCTGAAGGAGAATCTGGGACTAGAAGCACCAAGAATGTTTAGCTTTCATAACATGTAACACCAGAGAAGTTTTCGGATTTTCCTGTCTTAATATAATAGTCAGACAATGGTGGCTTACTTTATAATGCTTGTAAGAAAAGGAATTTTAATTCAAATGAAACTGGAAGATGGCCAGTCTGCTGGTATTAACACTAAGTAATATACTATGTATGTGACTCTCTTTTCTAGATCGTTTGCGTACCTTACAATTAAAGACAGAATACCACAGATCTTAACCAAGGCTATTGATACATTGCATCGACATAAAAATGAATTTTTTGAAAAACATGGAGAGGTAATACTGTGTTTTCACTTTAATTTTTTGTTAACTCTAATAGAAACACAATAGTAGTTTTCCATCTTTGGTAAGGATCATTCCTCCCCTAGAGAAGAGCTCTGGTTCCTTAGAAGAACCTGAAACAAACAAAAAAGGCAGAATGGGTAGGACAGGATAATGTGTGTGTTCTTTGGTTTTCAACTTAAGAATTCTGAATTTCAGTGTTTATAATTTTTTGTAAAAGACATAAAATGTAGCTTTGAAATCTAGTATTTTTTTTCTTTCTTTAGGACCTTAAAAATGTGTTATCCTAGAGGACTTATTCCTATATAAATTAATTATTTACCTATATAAGCTATATATTTAGATTATTCACATATTTTTAAGCATTTAAAAATTTTTTCATGTTTCTGCAGAAAGGCACAGAAGCTGAAAAGAAAGCAATTTCTCTTCTTTCTAAATTACGAAATGAATTGCAAACAGATAAACCAATAATCCCTTTTGTTGAGAAGTTTGTTGATACTGACGTATGGAATCAGTACCTAGAATATCAACAGAGTCTTTTAAATGAAAATGATGGAAAACCCAGGTGGTTTTACTCACCTTGGTTGTATGTAGAATGCTACATGTATCGTAGAATTCATGAAGCAATTATCCAGAGGTAAGTATATAACAAATAATAAATGTTAAGATGACTTGATGCTTTTTTGAAATTATAAAATGATATGTTTAAAAATAAAAACCAGTGGAAGCCGGAATTCAGTTCAGCAGATATTAACGGCAGTATCGGATGTTTCTGCAAATGTTACTGATATAATAGATTCTTGGCAGTTATAACCCAATTGCCAGAATTGATGTAAGGTGAAGTATTAGAGGGTGCCTGGTTGGCTCAGTCAGTACAGCATGCCACTCTTGATCTCAGGGTTGTAAATTCCATCCCCACATCTGTTATTGAGATTATTAAAAATGAAATATTATAAAAGATACAATATCTGAAGTGGGAGCTTAAGATTAAACACTTTAATTTTAAGAATTAAAAATCCTTACGAAGACTTACTTTTAGAGTAAAACAAATTGTATTGAGCAAAAAGTGTTAATTTGAAAAAATTATTTCGGTGAAACAAGATAGGACAAAGGAAGCATATTTTGTTTATAAAAAAGATAATATGTCAGTTATTTTGGGGTAAGAAGTCAACAGAACACTGAATCACAACAGTGTTTTTTGCACTATCTTCATTAATTTTTAGCCCTTTTTTGATGGCTAGAATGGAGACAGACTTTAAAAATTAAACACATATCAAAATCACTTTTTATAGGCTTGTTTATACTAATTTAATTTTTCCTAGGAAAATTCTGATACGGAATTGATTTAGAGAGTAGAAGAAAATGTAATGTGGATCATCCTTTTAGGTCACTGGTTCCAAAACTACAGGTTTGCTAGATAAGAGGAATTCTTTGGAAGCTGTCCCTAAAAATAGGAAAGAATAATTAAAAGCAATTGATCAAACTAGCACTAATAGTAAAATAAATTATTTGGGGAAACAATTTGAGTGTATTCGTTAGCTTTTTCTGTTTTAATCTTTAGAAATTATTTTTTAAATTAAAATTCTTTTTTAAGATTTTATTTAGTTTTAGAGAGAAAGAGCGCAAGTGTGAGGGGCAGAGTTAGAGGGAGAGAATCTCAAGCCGACTCTGTGCTCAGCAGGGGCTCGACGCAGGGCTTGATTCCAGGGTCCTGGGATCATGACCTGAGCCGAAACTAAGAGTCAGATGCTCAACTAACTGCACCACCCAGGCACCCCTAGAATCTATTTTTTAAAGTCACAACTTATTTTTGCTGAATAAGTGTATTTAATTAAATTAATTGATCGTGTCTCACCCTGCACCCACTGTTGAATAAACAAACATATTTTAAAACTTTTGCCCTGAAAGCAAAATACGCTCTCAAATATCTGGTACATGGGAGGCATCTGAGCGAGACGATAGCCACTACTGGAGCTGTCGTGTATTGAACACCAGCTGGGTTCCAGTGACTGCAGCCCAGTGAAGTGTAGCATTCTATGGTTTCCGCTGAGGAAATCGAGGTCTGATGCTGCTAATCGGTTGCCCAGGGTTACACGGCTAGTCAGTGGTGTAGCCAGTACTTGACCCTGGTCTATGTAAATCAGCTTAGAGCCCTCATTAAACCATCTTTTTCCAAGTAGTGGATTTGGATGTCTGTCAAGGACTAAGGTGAGTGAAATTCTGGCTGATGGTTTCATAATTCTGGAAAACATCCATGGTATGAACCAAAGCTGCTGAAGTGTTGAAACATGGGGTGGCTCCCTGCACGGGGTTGGAGGGGTTTGAAAGTTAGAAAGGTAAAAGGAATGTGTTTCTGAGTTTGATT